CTGTCAAGAGCAGCAGACTTCCCCTGCTCTCCTCCACCTCGGTTCCTGCCAGGAAGGTCTAAATAGGCCCTCTGTAGTCAGCTTCTTTTCTGTATTCCACACCATAGCTCAGCTACGGACACTGAGCCAGAAAAGTTAGCTTCTGCCCGGAGACCACAGGACCCACAGAACAGAGAGCTGTTTTAGGGTGGAGCGCCCAGGCCCAGCCTCCTGCAGACACTTGGTGTCTGGGGAAATGTCCCCCTCCTCCTCCCGCTTCTCCTAATCACTCGAATAACTGTGCGTGTATATATTTTCTCAAATCTTCAGCTCCATTTTCTTTCTGTGCCAATGACCTTCTGAGGCAAGAGGCTTAGCCAACGTGCTGAAGTTTACACGGAATCCATTACATGCTACCGAAGTGATGTTTGGAAGCAAGGGCCTTATCCAAACTAACTCCTTGTCCAAGATAAATCTTTTTGTCACCGTAAATAGATGCCATTGCCCTGGGGAGTGGGCAGGGAAACTCTGTGCTACTGCTGCTGTTAGCTGATGGGTTGTAACTCAGTAAACACACAGCATGTCAGATGATTTGAGGTTTCTATGAGTTACCATTTCCGTTCCCATCCGCTTTTTCCGTTCACTTCTGTGCCTCCCATTTGTGGCTTCTCTGCTTCTTGGGGGCATCCTTGGTGTTACCTTTCTATTTGGTGGTGACAATGGGGGGTTGTGATGGGTTGGGAGAGGTTGTGGCAGACATTGCTGTGTCTTAGGTCCTCTCCGTCTGCACAGTCTCTCTCTGATTCTTGCCTCCTGGGAGGGTTTCAATTCTTTGTTACCCTTACGAGATGCACTTCTATAGTCTGACTCTGCCTAACGTACTGAGTGAGGCTATTCAGATGGCCTGAATCGATCAGGAGCTAAGCTTGACTTCCATGTGAGTAGGGCCAGGAAGCCCTATGGTCTCACTGAGCTTCCCTATAGACTCCGCACAGGCTTGAGACTAGGCAGGTCTGCGGCTGCTCTCAATGCTGCCATCCCTACATCCGCTCTGGTCTGCTGTGTATCTCTGGGGCACATAGTGTGTGATTCTGAGCCGTTGTTCTGGGCTACCTACGGGCACTCATGGGTATGTGTAACCAGAAAAGGGAACCAGGTCATCGAAACGTGCCTCATGTTTTCCTGGAAAATAAATTCCAAGCCAAAGCGATGTAGAGTTTAAAACCGAAGAGGAGACACAGAAAGTGGTATTGTGATCTGCCCCTGGACTTCCCTCCAGTAGGGTCTGGATGGAGGCCTCCCATACTACCTCCACCTTGGTTTAAGACGTATTTTTAATTGTGTGTGTGCTGGGGGTGTCTGCAGACTGTAGAGGCCAAGTGTCAGCTCCTCCTTGTGCTGGAGCTACAGGCGTCCGATGTAAGTGTTAGGAACTGAGCTCAGGTTCTCCGCGAGAGCAGTGTGTGCTCTTCACTGCTGAACTGTCTTGGCAGCCCATTCCTATCAGTTTAGAGGCATACTCTGCACAGGTGCACACCTGTATGCACACGCAACTCAAGGCTGCTGTATTATTAATCGCATCCATTCTTTCAATCCCCGCAGCTGCCTTTGGGGCATCATGACATTCATTGCTCTGAGTTCTAGCTTGGGCAGTTGGAACACACTCCTAGGAGCCCCAGTCCCACCATGCTGCCCCCTCTCAGTTTGCTATTTTATTCAAGCTCTAATAGCAAGGGGAAGAGTGTTGAGAAGTTTCCAGACCCTCCACCCCGCTGTATTCCCTGACCTGTCTCAGCAGCCGTGACCATGAAGCAGAGGTCACAGTGGGAGGATCAGGGGACTTCTCACTTCTCTGTCAGTGCTTGGCTGAAGCATCACCCTTCACTTTCTCCCTGGACCTTAAAAACAGCTATGCTGGTTCACCCTAATACAGACTCCTGTGTGCTAACACGGAGAGCCTATTAGTAAGCTCTTGCCTACTCCTGCTTCCCCTCCTCTGTCTGTGTCTTCCAGGAAATACCGGCCTTTACTGGCCTTTTCTTGTTTTCCTGCTGGTCTCTGTTTGCTCTGGTTCTTCCTGTTTGCAGTGCCATACCTGAGCAACCACTTTCTAAATTAGCTAACTTGTCTCTGGAGCTGTCTCCTGGGGCAGTAAAAGCTGCACCTCTGACACCCCATGTCACAGAGACCACATCAGTCATTTGACACACATATGCTGCGCACATATGCATGCAAACACATGTATGTTGTTGATGTAAGAAACACAGCTCCCACCTCAAAGGGGTAAGCGATGGTTTATTCTAGAGCCAAATACTCGTGAGTGTGGCTGGGGAACACATCAATTTCCCCCAATACCATGATCTTTCTGACATGTAGTTTTGTTAAGTTTTGAGTGTCAGACTGAAGAAAGTCACAGGTGGAACCATCAAGTAGGCGGGTCCAGCAAAGCAGGGAATGTCTGCTAGAGACCTTAGATGCTAAAAACGTTCTTAGCTTCTGGGATGGTGGAAGCTAGGAGGTCTGCATTCCAAAGGATTTACTTACTAGTCACAAGGATGTTGTACCACACACAGAGGTGAGCAAAAACTGGCTATTGGGGGAAGGGTAAACAGAGCTCGAGATAATTTGGCCCTAGACTTGGAACATTCTAACCGTTAAACACATCATTGAAATTCTAATCTGCCAGTCAGCCCTTGTTTATTGCCAGAGCTTCTTTCCAGAAGCTTCCATTCACGTATGTGTGAGGTGTTTCTATATATATCTTCAGTATAAATCCTCACTCCTGTGTGATTTTTATATTTAGAGTGGAACACATGAAAATAGCTCAAGAACATGTTCACAGCCATTTCCTCATTTAGAAGGACTCAGAGCATCCTGCTCACCTGGAGGGATTCTGTTTGCTCCAGCTCAGGGTACCACCTTTGTTGGGCAGACTCCAAAAGAGAGGATTTACTGACACAGCCTTGATAGGGATGATGGAAGAAAAATGCTTGGTACCAACCTTCAAACTGCTGAAAATCGAGGCTCCCTGGGGGGGGGGGGTAGAGATTTGGTTTGACCTCAGCGCAGCCCTGTGCATGGAATTCCTGACCTAGGGCAGATGCGTAGTATGTACTGGCTGGAGAATGGTTGACAGGCAGTGAATTGGACTGGGTGGGCTATGGGTGAGGCATGTACTGGAATTCCGAGACGAGGAGAACGATGATTGCTTATAGGTTTTGTTGTGCATGGTGAATACACCCTTCCTGGTAATTTTAGATGCAAAGAAAGATCTTTGAAGCTTTGAGCTGATGTGTTATTGAACAGGGTGGCATCCTGTGGGTCCCTCAGAGGGCTGCCTTGCTTCTTTTCCACTCACACGCTGAGATGGAGCACATGCCGGAAACTGGTTTTCCTTGCCTTTGGTGCCATTTCTATCCAGCCATGCATGCATGCGCTCAAGCGTTTGCAGTGGATCACAAGGGAGGCTGATGGGAAGCTTGCTATGATTCTGTATATGGGAATTGTAAGTGGTGATAATTCAACTCAGTGCACATCAGGCAAAGAAGGAATCTGTTAAACAGATGGTGGGCTGCCTCATGCTGCCAAGGGGCAAGAGTAGGACCGAGTCCTGGACATGACTCTTGGCATGACTTCTTCTTCACATTGTTTTATCCCCCTCCCTCCTTGGACTGGATCCTTCTTGTAGCTTCTAGGCGCCACTTCAGGAAATGAGACGGAGTAGGTCCTCTTTTTTGGTTTCACATCTCCCAGGGAGTTATTCTGAATATCCAGGACCATGGCTATGGAAGGGATCATATTGTATTTCATGGAATGGAGAAGGGCAGGGATGCCCTGAGAGCAGAGGCCAGTCCCCATGGGGAGGTGCTGAGCTGATGCAGCAGGGACCAGTCCCCATGGGGAGATGCTGAGCTGATGCAGCAGGGACCAGTCCCCATGGGGAGGTGCTGAGCTGATGCAGCAGGGACCAGTCCCCATGGGGAGGTGCTGAGCTGATGCAGCAGGGACCAGTCCCCATGGGGAGGTGCTGAGCTGATGCAGCAGGGACCAGTCCCCATGGGGAGGTGCTGAGCTGATGCAGCAGGCAGGGTCCCCTTCAGTGAAAGCATTCAGTATCACAGTGGCCCAGCTGTGCACCTGCTTGCTGCCGGTCCTTGAAGGGTTGTCTTCCTAGAGGGATGAAGGAAGGCTCAGGTGCTGTAGACAACTGATTATTTTGGACATTGGCTCTTGATAGTTGCTCTGAGGATGATGGCTGCTCAGATTGGAACAAATGAATGCAGAGTGTTGGGAGTTGCAATCGGCACCGTGTAGGTGTTCTAGAAGGCAAAAGAATGTCACCAGGAAAGACTCAAGGTCTACGATTTGTAAAACTGATGTGTGAGGGCAGAATAGTTTTATTCTTGAGTTTAGGGAAAGGAATGGGAATGAAGATATCGAAGCTACTTTAGGCTCTGAAGAAGTCATTGGAGTGACAAGTGGGCAGAGGTACATAGAGAAACCCCTCTTCAGATGACAGAGAAACCACACTTTACCTCCTACGCATGTTTCCAGCTCTGCTATGGTGGTTGACACTGTTGTCAGCGTGCCGGGATTTGCAATTGCCTAGGAGACAGAATTCCCAGGTTGTCTGTGAGAAACTTCCTGACTGAGGTGGTTAGGCCGATTGAGGTGGAAAGATCCACCCCTAATCTTTGGATCTTTCAACAAAAGTCTGTATAAGCTTTAGATATGATTTTAAAATAAAATAAAGTGGTCTTTCCTTATCTCCAACATTAGTGAAGAACCAGCAAGTGCTGCAAATTGTGTGCTTACTCGGCGCCATGGTCACACTCACGATAGTTCCCCACATGTGAGGAACTCATGATGGCTGAGCTAGCAGCCCACGCTGACAGCCACACCCATGCCAGCATGGATTCCTTGGTTCAGCTCTTCCCACAGACACAGACGCTAAGCTTCTTCCCGCTCCTTCTGTTCATCCTGTACTCAAATTCTCTACAATCTTTTGAACGAATGCCATGTACCTTATGCTACTATTTATTTCAATATCAACTTAAATGGTGAGAGATTTAAGAAATTCAATGGGAAAACAAGCCAGATATTCTAATAAATACACAGTAGATAATTATGTGTGATTATAAGATTTCAATGGAAGATAATGATCACACGTCTTGTCCATTGTGGTGTACAGACACCGCACAGAGTAACCAATATGCTCACCAATGCTTCACTTTTAATTCTTTGAGAATTACGTGAATGCATACAAAGTACTTTGATCATATCCACCACCCTCATCCCCCTCCAACTGCTCCCAGATTCCACCCCAAGACCCGTTTCTAACTTCACGTCTTCCTTTCTCACGATTCACTCAGTCACGAATTAGTGCTTCTCAGATGTGTATAGATGTATCTTCTAGCGCGTGGTTGACCTACCAGAGGGCACAGCCCTGCAGAAAATGGATTTCCCACCTTCTAGTAGCTATCAACTGTCTGTCAATAGCTCCCCAGGCTCTGGCTGTTGTAATCTTTCCATTCCCTTTCCCGCCATGTTCTTGAGACTTGGGAGCAAAGGGTGTGGTATAGAAACCCCATTTACAGGCTGGCGTTCCACAGACACATACTCTCTTCATTTCGGCCAGTTGTCTATCTCTGTATTAACTGCTATCCACTGTGGAAAGAGGCCTGCTCTCACCCCAAGTATAAAGATAAGAATTTAGGAAGCAGTTTGATACTCTGTCTATGTACAAAGAAATAGTAATAGGGTCTCCCCCAGGGACTTTGAGTCCCTAGCCACACTTTCTGATGTGGAAGGTCCTTCTGGATCCTTATTTGGCAATGGTTGAAAATAACACATGGAGAAACCACAGTGACCATTCCACTGTGGCCATTCTCCATTTATTCTGTTCAGGAATAGGAGCTCTACCATTTCAGAGGAACTATGCCTGCTTAGCTGGACACCGGATTTCTCAGGTTCCCTTGCAGCTATGGCTCAGAGAACATCCAGGGTAATGGGATATGGGAGTTAGAGGTGCCCGGTTCCTGCGTGTACTTAAACAGTTTTTAGTTGATTGTCGTTGTTTTTTGTTATTTCTGCTTTTGATATTGCAGGAGAAAACTTTGACCTTTCCCTGACCCTGGGGAGTGAGTGAACACGTGCATACATGGGATCTTGACACTTCCCTCCTGGTGCTGGGAGATTCTTCACATCTGCCAGGCTCCGCAGGGAGCTCCCTGAAAAATCTGAGTCACATTTACCTCCCCAGCCTGGAGGAGCAGTCAGAATTCCTGGCAGATCACGGGGTATTATAAATGTTTACAGAAGAGATGGAGGAATTAGAAGCACCTTAGAGACAATATCACACTGGCCATGTTGAGTAGTCTCCTCTAAGAAGTTGCAAAGATCACAGGAAGTGTCAACATTGTTGATAGCACTTGAGAATAACCACGTTTTCATGATCCTCCACACACACACAGACCAGCTGTCTAACTCCAAACGGCACGTCCTGTGTTGGTCCACTACACAGTTACTGGTGGTGTTTACATTAAAAGGGACATGGCAACACTTTCGAATACCGTGGCCATCTTTTCACGAACGTAGCCTTGGAATAGAGGCTACCTGTACATATTCCTTTAAACAAAGTCAGCTGGGTTGTGACTGGGGAGAAAATGTAATATTTATGATGGCGGCCTCGTGTGTGGAATCGTTATGAGAGGAGCATTTTGGAGCATTTCTGGTAGCACAGTTTGTCCGAGCTACACTAGACACCGCGGAGAGCCCTGGATCCACCAGGCACGTTCCGAATTGTTCGGCTTTCCCTCTGTTTGGCTGCTGGGCTCTGCAGACCTTCCGAGACATTCTCCATCAACTGCTGTTTGTGTGATAGATATAAGCTGGGAAAGCCACTCACTCTGCTGGGCCTGGTGGAAAAAGAAACGAGATTCTTGTGTGAGGGTGTCCCATGATGAAAACACATTTTACAACTTTTCCTTTCCGGCGTGCCTTTTATGTAAACAACAAAACACACTGAATCCATTTTTCAAACAAACTTACCAAACCCGAAAACACAGCCGACCTTTAACAGTGGGTAGCATGAACTATTGGGGTTACAAAGAAGGTTTTAACTATTGAAACTCGTTGGCAACCTGAAAAATGAGTTTTCCTTCCTTCCGAACGGTTAAAAATAGCTCTATAAACTCTTAACTCCGTGTGGTGGTGAGCTCAGCATTAATCACCTCTATGGCATCTTACATTTAGGACACGGATAAATCCACGGGCCCCAATCAACCACTTTCCTGAGGAAATTGGCCAAATCCCACCTGGAGGGAGGGGGATGAATCCCAACAGCCTTGCCATTCAGACAAATCTCTTTTCAAGTACCCTTAAAGCTTTTTTTCATACTCCAGCGAAGACAGCCGCACAGGAAACAATAATAGTTTAATCTCTTGAAAAATTTCCTTCCTGCATTGCAGCCCTCAGACAGGTAGTGAGAGCGAGCCAAGGAAAATGAAGAGAGCCCCTGCCAAGCGCTGGCTGCTACTTGGCTTCTCCTTCCTGCTCTCGCATAGGAGCCTCCACGCTCCCCCAGAGAGGCTCTGCCGTGGCCCCAGTGGCTCTGCTGCTATCTGCCTTGACCCTCTCTGACCCTGGGAAAGAAAGAGACAAGGGAAGCAGCCGTTGACTCATTCCATGACTGGGCGTCTTTAAGCCGCCCGCCATTCTTCTGGAGCTTCCTAGTGCTTCCTTCTAGGGGAAGACACATTTTATCTGGGAAAACACACGCAACTCTCAGGGAAGTGCAGAGCCTGTGGGTGGGTCTTCGGGAAACTGTGTCTGGGCTTGCTCAGAAGCCCATGTGCCTCATTGCTGAGCAAGTCTTCCCAAGGCTGCAGGGAGGGTAATAAGGCTCCAAGGAACCTGAACAATTTTGAGATTTGTGGGCTAGACAGGACCCATATTCAGGAAGTCCACTGGCTTTACCCTGGCCAGCCAGCTCAGAATGCCAGCCTGTCGTGACGTTCAGTAACCCACAGAGGATCTCGTTAGGCCATTATACATAATAACTCTTGGGAATTAGCTTGCAGTTCTCATGCATGGCTCAAGCTGTGTGTAATTTACTTCAGATGAGCTGTTTCCAACCAGCAAGATCACCAGAATGGGCATGTTGACCGCTGGCCCCTCCTCCTCTGTGCTCTGTGTGTGTGTGCGTTCACACGTGTACACATGGAAGCCAGAGGTGAGATGGATACCGCCCTCTCAGCTCCCACCTACTGTTTTTGAGACAGAGTTCCTCATGGAACCAGGAGCCCCCAACTTTCTCTAGACTGGCTGTCCAGTGAGCCCCAGGACGCCTGTGTCTACCTCTCTGGTGCCAGGACTGCAGGCAGGCATTGCCACAGCCAGCTTTCACATGGGTGTTGGGGACTGGAACACAGGTCTTGTGTTTGTGTGCGAGCGCTTCGCTTCCTTAGCCTACTGTGAGTCCTTGACTCACCGGCTAGAATTTTTGCTCTCTGTGCTCCCCAGGGAACACCTCTGTCTAAACGCACCCCTGAGTCCTGGCTCTCAATCACTCCCTTTTATCCAGCCTTGTTTCTGGTTTTCCTCTTGGCTTGGCCATTTTAGGAGTCACTGGCAGGGTCTGGGCAAAAAGAACTGCATTTTTATCTCCTGTCTATTTCCCCCACCCATATTTGTGACTTGAAATAAAAAAAATCCTCTCATTATAGAGAATAGAACATTGTCTAATCTCTCAAATAAATAGAGAGGAGGTAAAAGGGTTTGTTAGCCAAACTGCTGGTTGGCACAAAAAAAAAAAAGTGAACAAATTTAGTTATCATAAAAATAGCCTCTTCAAGCCACCCACCGTGTCTAGGAATTCATTGGACGCATTCCCATGTTTTCGGGCCAAGCAAGAAGTACACGAAATAGAAGCTGTTTTCAACTCATTTTCCCTTCATCACTGAGGATAACTGAAGGCAAACGCTGTAAGATTCTCCTTAGACAAGCGTCTGGGCCAGCCAAGGGCTGTTACCTCAACTGCCAAGTAAGAAACTCAGCAGTCTGCAGGAATGCAGTACCCAAGGAGAGACCTGTGTAGTGAGAGTCAGTAAAGACCAACAGACAAGGACAGGATGACCATCATACTGCTAGTTACCATAGCAACATGTTGTGAGGGACATTTTGCCAGCAATATGGGGGTGTTCAACATTAGTGCCACTCACATCACATGACGTTCTCAGAGGTGTGCGAACTCATGGTTTCTAAAAATAAACAAACAAACAAACAAAGGGAATAGTCTTACGTAACGAGTCTTTCTCGGTTATTCCATGATGTGGGAGTGATTTCTTATTAATAAAGAAACTGCCTAGGCCCCTTGATAAGGCCCACCCTTAGGTGGGTGGAGAAAAGAGGAGAATTCTGGGAGAAGGAGGCTTGGTGGAAAAGTCGCCATGATGCTCCCACTCCAGACAGACGCAGGTTAAGATCCTCTCTGGTAAGCCAGCTCATGGGCTACACAGAATATTAGAAATGGGTTAGAACAATATGTAAGTGCTAGCCAATAAGAAACTAAAACTAGCCGGGCCAGGCAGTGTTTAATAGAATACAGTTTCCGTGTAATTATTTCTGGGTATAAACTAGCCATGCGGGCGGCTGGGTGCCGGGGACGCAGCCCTGCCGCTCCTATTATTTCAACAATTCCAGGTAGCTCCCACATAACGACAGAGAGACTTGTTATTAATTATGAAAGTTCAGCCTTAGTTTAGGCTTGTCCCGCTAGCTCTTGTATCTTAAATTGACCCATTTATATTAACCTATGTCCTATCATGGAGCGTTACTTTCTCCCACCTTGTCCGTATTTCCTCTCCATCTAGGGGGTGACTCTGCCCTTCTTCCCAGAGTCCTCTCTGTCCTTGGAAGTCCCACTTAACCTCTTCCTAGCTATCAGCCATTCAACTTTTTATTATGCCAATCACAGCAATATATTTTCACACAGTGTACAAATATTTCACACTATTATGCTATATTAATTGAAAATTATTGAGTGTAGTAATTTTTTTCTAATTTACCTGTTTCTTACAGACAAATACACAAAGGTGTATATCTGATTAGTGGAATAGAGTGGAGCTAATTCTACTTTGATAATGTTTTATAATACCTAAGATGTTCTTTATGCAGCGTAGTGATTTAAGCATCTCTGGTAAGTGACAAAAGAAGTCTTATGTTTTTAGGTATTGGGTTTCTGCAATTATTTCTGTCGTGTCTGTATTTGTCAGTGTTCTAAGGGACAGAGGTGACAGAATGAATATGTGGTAAGAACGGGTCACTGGGCAGGTTTTGGAGAGGTGGTCTGTGCTGCCCAGGAAGGCTGTCTTCACAATGGGGAGTGGAAATCCCACAAGCTTCCCAGTCTATAAGTTTGGTGCCTCTAGAAGAGCTTTTACAGGAAACTTGAAAAAGCTGGGTTGTGACACCAGTGAAAGATGGCCAACAGCCACAGTGGGGTAGAGGAGCACAAGCCAGAGGTGACCTTGTGAGGGAGACACGCGTGGGCAGGGCGCCTTCATGGGTCCCACGGTTGAAAGGCCTGCTCACAGTTGCCGAAAGTCTTCCAGTGTCAGCGAAACTGACCAAGAAATGCCCTTACAGCTGTGCCTGGAGGCTGTAAGGCCATGGGGTCGACTCCAGATGTTGCCACGTTGGTGATCCTGATGAACGATCTCAGCACATCTGTACTCCTTGAATTCTGTGTAATTAGTTTAGTGACCTTTCTTAAAATGGGCTTTCTGCTCAGTTGCAAATCTTCAAGGGTCTTTCTGTGGAAGCGTCTGCGTTCTGTTTCTCCCAGGGTGCCCTGCTTCATCAGAACATGGTTCTGGGTGGCGTTTCCCTTGACATCCATGTTCATAGAGAGGGACCCACCACAGAGGTGAGTGGACGCGCCTCACGCGGTCCTCTCTGTGACTGTGTGTAGAAGAGCAGGCCCTTTCCCTGCCTACTGTGTGGCACGGACACGGGCGGGAAGGGGCCCTTCTACACTTCTCCAGTAGTCTACCCACAAACTTCTGTTACCCCAAGTGAACCTCCCTTCTACTCAGTGATATTTTCCTGTTCACCACCAACTCCCAGCCCTAGCTGCTGTTTGCCTCTTGCGGCCACTGACTTCACATCTCCTAGATTCTGCCTTTGTCCCCAACACACCAATGGGGGCCCACCCTCTGCTCATTCTGTACATCCTTCGCCACCACATTTACACCTACAAGGGAACTTTCGTCTTTTATCTTTTCTGTCTCCCCAGGGCACAGATCCCTTCCCATTGGCTACTGTGCTAACAAGGATGGAACTGAAACCTGCCCGGTTTAGTTTCTAGTTCCCTGAGCTGCCGAGTGTGTTTATTCTAATCATAGCGGAATCCCTACTATGATCATGCCCTCATTAGTTCTGATGGCCTTATTTAACTTTAGACACCAGAAACCCAGCTTCTTCAGCGTGCGTGGGGCCACGGGACTCAGGGTGGCCCTTTCTGATGACTTTCTGTCTGTCTGTCAGGCCGCGGGCCTGAAGATTCTCGGGCAGAGCTTCGCAGACACGGTGCCGCACAGATTGCTAGGGCAGTCCAGTTTAGGAAGTTGCCGCCTTCTTATTCTTACGTGAAATCCCTTTAGAGGAGGAAGGACAGAGAGGAGGTGGGCATAAAAAAGAGAGAGAAGGAATTATGGGGAAGAGAGCAAGGGAGTAATATTTGGCTATATTCTTTAAGATTTTGTGCTATTTATTTGCAGCGAATGCCTTTTTTTTTTCTGGGCAAATGAGTCATATTTTTTAACTTGAAAAAGAAGGAATCAGTGTTTGAAGAGAGAGTGTATCCAAAGAAAGGAAAACGAGACTCCTGTTGACTTGCTTCTGCTGCTGGTGTGCT